ACAGCCAATTTATGACTATTTTACTGAATTTTCAATCTAAAAATTTGTCCATAGATAGGTCTAATGAATCTTAGGGTATCCTGTAAGTTTCAACTGAAAACAATATTCCATTGTTGAGATATTGAATTTTCAAGTAAACTCGATATATTCACGAAAGAATATTCTTTTCGGTTGAAACTTTTAAGATATTTTAGGAGTTATTCGATCTTTCTATAGACAAAATTTTCAGTAAAATAATCCTCACTCGATTTCAAAAGCTCATGGAAATGAACTATGTCACGGTTTTTTTAGTCTCATCACGATGCCTTAATAGGCTTAGTATGAGCTCAAACGGTGGATATCAGTTCGAATGGTTTCTTCATCATAAGTGATCACATATATCACGCAGAAAATTACTTTTAAGAAAAAAAATTTTTCGGCGAAAAACATCTGAGAAAAATCCTTGTTCACATGTTTTTTTCGAGAAAATTTTTTTATTAGAAAATGTCTTGTGTCATAAATCATCCAATGCAATTTCGCACGCTCATTTCCAATATACCGTTGATATTTAATAGAAATACTTTGGTGTCCGAAAAACCAAGGATTTTTTCGAAAAACCTGTTGAATGATTCAAAAGCGTTTATGTTAATTGCCGTGATAGAGAATACAGAATAGAACAATCTGATATAGTTGAAGAGGATTTGAATAGGTGCACATTATTTTTTACTGAACTTAGCCACTCCGAAGATTAGTTTAGAAAAAAAACTTTTAAAATTCATAACACAAAATTTTTCTACTATTAGATAGAGTATATTTCAAACTATATTTATCACTATGTGGAACGACAAAAAGGCTAACTTTCGTTTTTTTCACCTAATGTTTGTGTTAGCATAGTTTTTAATAACTAAATTCTTTATACCATGTCCTTCATATTCTTGTTCTGGTTGTTCTGCAAATGTTGTATGAAGAGCATTCATTTTATCTAATAATTTTCCACAACCATTGAGACTTGCTTCCATTAATAGAACAGCAACAATTGCATCAAGAATATTAACTTGTTTTGAAAAAATTAATTTTGCATGAGCTAAATATTCTTCCAATATAAATAAATCATTTAGAAAAAAAAAGATTTTTTTTCTACCTTGTGCTAAACGAACAGTACTTTCTAATTGACGAACTGTAATATGTCGATCAGTATTTTCAGTTATTCGACGAGACGTTGAATAATATCTGAATAAATCAAGAAAACCAAATGAATAAATATCTTGTTTTTTTTTTTCTTTTCATATACGTTTTAATAATTGTTTCAGCTTCTGGTGTCATTTCTGGTTCAGCAGATTTAATTGTCATAAAATAATCACGCATTTTTGTTATTGGCCATGGTTTTTTCAAAGCACCATGACCTATAGAAAACTTGTCAATCCTTTATTGGAAAAACAACAACAACAAAGACATACCAAGTAAATCAATTCCTTCGGTAATATATGTTGCTGCAATATTATCCCATTCTTGATTTTGTGTATCAAGTGTAAGTAAAATTAAATCAAATCGACTAAGTAATGGTGATGAAAGTGCAGTATTTATTGTTAATGGATCTTCATTATCATAAACACCTTGTGGATTTGCTGATGCTATAATTGAACAACGTGTTTGTAATGTTCTTAACATTCCTCCCTAGATTTTAATTTTGATTTTATTTTCAAAACTCAAAAATAATTTTTATATACTTTAGCTAAACTTATTCTTTGTTGTTCCATTGCTTCAAGTATACAAGCTTTATCTTGATTTTTCATTGTATTAAATTCATCAATACAACAAATACCTTCATCAGCTAAAACTAAAGCACCAGCTTCTAATGTCCATCCTGGTCCGTCCTAAATTAAATTTTTATTTTATTTTATTTTCTTAATTTCGATGAACTTACTCGAACAGCTGTTGCTGTTAGACCAGCACTTGTTGAACCAACTCCTGTTGTTAATACAGCTCGTGGCATCATTTTTGCAACATATTTAAGAAAAAATGATTTTCCAGTACCTAAACGAAGAAAAACAAAATAGTCTTCTATTCAAATAAAATTTCAAATATATCATACCTGGATCACCAACTAATAATAAATGAGGTTGACTACGAACACGAATACCACGTTTTTCATCCGAAATCTAAATTATTTTTCTTCAAAAACAAAAACAACAAAAAAAAACTTTTCAACTAACAGTCACACCTCCAGCTAATATAAGTGCAATTGCTAATTTAACAACATAAAGTCCATAAAGTTGTGGACATATACTAGCTAATATACGATTTCGAGCAGAAAGTGGAGTTCGATGATTATCATGCCAATATTGTTCAAATTCATCATACTTAATTTAAAAAAAAAAGTTTTTATTGTTTTTTTATATCAAAAAAATAATCTTTTTCAAACAAACAGCATGTGGTGAAACACTAGCAGTTTGATCATTAAGTACAACAACATTATTGGCTTCTAAACATAATGATGTTTGACCACGACCACCAACTTGTACTGGATGCCAACGATCTTGAACAAATCCACTAGAAAGAAAATATATATATATATATATTTAATTCTTGAAGCAAAATGAATTGATTAAGAGTTAATCAAGCATCAGACGATAATGACTACTGACCTTTAAGATTTTCAGATGCATCCTTTAAATAGAATGATTTTTCTTTAATCATTCTCGAAAATAATTAACAGAAAACAAAAAAGTAATTAACTTACTAAATAGCAACATCATCTCCTGGTTTACATGCTTCAACAAGATCATCTTCAAGAATAACACTAAATGAACGTGGTAAATTATTTGATGTAACACGTTGTAATGATTCTTGAACTTTTATTTCACGATAATCGGATAAATCTATTGTTTTATCTTCCGCTAAATTATTAGAAAAATAAACAATTTTATAACATGCATGTGCAACATATTAAGATTAAAGCTCATCGAGTCGGTCTTGAAGTCGATGGGCTCTGATTGAGATGCATTGTTCAATGATAGTTAGAGAGCTGCGGATCCGAGTTCAGAAATCAAGTTTTTCTTTGGTCCGAAGATTGACAATCAAGTGTTGAAAATTCAACACATGCAACTTTGATTTCCTGTTTAACTCTATTTGGAACAGATTGTTCACTTTTTTGAAGATGTATAAAACTGATTGATATGCATTTGAGTATAGGAAACTGTCATTTTTTTTTATTTTGACGACTAAGAGTATGACTAGATAGTGAATTGATATCAGAAAACGATGTATAAACAAATCTTCTCATTAATTGTAAAGAACATATTCTTGCTTGGTGTTGATTTTCATAAATAAAATTAAAATTATTTCATGCAGCTAAAGATTTTTGTTTATTAATTAACTGTTCAAATTTCTTTTCTTGTCAACATAACGCTCTTTTCAACTAAGTAAAAACTTTTAATTTATTAAGCATTGAGTAATGGAAAAGGTAACAACAAGAAATCACTGTACGTCGACTTTTTTTCTTAAGAGTAGTCAATAAATAGCTAAAATCTTGGTCCTTCACTTGTTCATGTATACATACAGTGTGACTGATAATGGTGGAAAAAAAAACTCGGATGGGTTCGGTCCTACAAAAATGTGGATTCGCAGCTCCCTAATGCTAGTTGATCTTTATAAAAATTCAATGCATACTTTCTTTTAATGATTTGAATTTAATTGATGTACAATCTTCATTTGAACATCGTGTTGGTTTTAATTTAATTTTTTCCATATTACTCGATTTTGTTACTGTTACTATTGAACCACATTCTTCACCTATTTTGAAAGATATTTAGGAAATGAAATAAAAACTCTATGAAAAAAAAAGACAACAAATATTTACATTGATATGATCGTGTTGCATCAAAAACATATGGTGTTCCAACACGAATAACTGTACCATGAAAACAAATAAAATGACCACGATCTTGACAACTTTATTATTATATGTAAATAAGATTCATAAAAGTAATAAATAAATTTACTTTGGAATTTCATAACGAACAAGATCTGATCGATTACTTCCAAATTTAACAACTTTTATTTTTGTTTTTATATCTTCAGGCTAAAAATAATATTTCAAGTTAATTAATTAATTCTTCTTTTCAATTAAATGAAGGTTTTCTTACTAATGAATAATCTGATAATTCCATAGCTACTTGTTTAAATGCTTCAGTAAGTTTATCAAAAAAATATCGAGCGCGTGGTCCTAAATCCCAAAGAAGTCGACCCAATTCAAAATCATATTCCAATAATTTACAATAACTAAATATTTCAATTAATAAAATTCATTCGAAAATTAATAATTTTTACTTTAATGTTAATGTAAGTACATTCGGCATCTCTAATTTATCTTTTGGAATAAGTTTAAGAATATCATTATGACAATAATCACTTCGAAAAAATTCTTTCAGAGCATCTAAAATAAAAATCCAAGGAAATTTGTAATTAAATTACATATTTTTTTTTTGATTTACCTAAAAGTGATCGTGAAGTTGTTGTAGGCATTTCAATGGTATACGTTTTTTTTTATTCTTTTTCGAATATTATGGATTCAATTTTATAGGGTAAAATCAAGACTAATCTGATTGGTTCATGTTAACTAATGAGAATGAGTTCTTTTTATTGAAATTAAAAAAAAGAATCGATCGATAGAAAAATTTAAATTGCTTTATTTAAATAAAACAAAATATAGAATTAATATAAATTCATATTTAAGACAAGTAATTAAAAATATTTTTCTAATAAAATTCAAAAGTTTCAATTTATTCATGAGTTTTATTTTCAATTTATTTTCATTATTTATTCTCTCTGAAAAGAATTATTTATTCTATAGAAATGTGCTTATTGAAGCCAAGGTATACGAGTTGACCTTAGTTTTTTTGTATACTTTTTTTTGGTTATCGCAAGCAAACAAACTGATTAAAAGTTTTGATAAGATAGATGTTCAACTATATAAAATACCTAGACAAACTTAAAAAAAGGTGTATCTCTCGTGTTTTAGTATGTTTTGGGTATATATAACTGCGATATATTCTGTGGTAATCATTACTGCTCATCGATTACCTCCACCATTTGATATTCGTATTGATTATTATAAAGTTGAAACAACAAAAGACTTAGTAATCAATACACCTCGACCACGATTATCTTGGAAATTACCAATTTCAAATGAACGTAATGTTCAACAAACAGGTTATCAAATTCAAATTCAATCAGATACAGATAAATGGGATAGTGGACGAATAGATTCAAGTCAATCAATTCATGTTCCATATATAAATAAAAATGATCTTAAACCATCAACACATTACCAAATTCGACTTCGTATATGGACAACATTATCTAATCAAGCAAGTTCATGGACAGATTGGATACGATTTCGAACATCAATATATAATTTACATGAATATATTATGCAACATAATAATGAAGTTTATTGGATTGGTTCAACACAAATTTATATGAATGAATTAAGAAAAGAATTTAATGTACCTAATGATAGTCCTATTCGAACAGCAATTGCTTTTATATCTGGTATTGGCTATTATGAATTATATGTCAATGGACAAAGTGTTGATGCTAGTCGAAAATTAGATCCAGGTTGGACAACATATGAAAAACGTACTTTATTTGTTTCTTATGATCTTAAACCGACTATTAAGGTTTGAATAAATTTTTTATATTTATTCGAAGTTTTTTTTTTCTATTTATTTAGGCAGGTATGAATGCTATAGGTGTTAAATTAGGTAATGGTTGGTATAGTCAAGAACAGTATGTACCACCGTCTGTCAGTGAACCAAATTATGGTAAAAAATAAAATAAAATTTAATAAATGAATGAATATTTGAAATATCTTTTAGGTCCTCCTCGTCTTCTATTTGTTTTACAAATTGTTTTTGAAAATACTAACGATATGGTAATCTATAGTGATCAAACATGGAAAGGTCGACTAGGATCAATTTTACATGATAGTGTTTATAATGGAGAAATAGTTGATAATCGATATGATCGTCCCAATTGGGCTCAAGTTGGATTTAATGATACATTGTCACTTTGGCTTACACCTGAAATATTGCCATCACCAGTTAATATAACTGCTAATGGTCAAATGACTTTACAAGATATGCCACCAATACGTGCTGGTCCTGATGCATTACATTTTGAAATTAATAATCCATTAGAATTAGAAAATAGTTATTTATTAAAAGAAGATTTAAGTGATATTATAGGTGCACAATTACATGACGGTGGAATATTGAAACCTATTAGTGTATCAACACCAGTTTTAGGTGTTCATACATTTGATATGGGACAAAATATGGTTGGATGGTGTCGTTTTCATTTTCATGGTCCACGTGGTCTTGGTATTTATATTCGTCATGCTGAAGCATTAGCACAACCAGTTGTATCAACACAGTATGATCTTGAATACATATTTTAAATAAATATACAATTGATTATTTTTAGTCAAGCATATGGTGGAATCTATGTAGAAAATCTTCGTGGTGCTACACAGTCTGATAGTTATATATTACGTGGTGATCCAAATGGTGAAATTTATGAACCACGGTAGATTTATAGAAAAATTTTATCGTTTTTTTGTTGTTGTTGTTATTATTAATATTTGTTGATTGTAGTTTTACTGTTCATGGTTTTCGTTATATATCAGTTTTTGGTTCACCAAATCCTTTAACAGTTAATGATGTTGAATGTCCTGTTGTACATAGTGAAACAACAGTCAAAGGACATTTTGCATCAACTAATCCAGTAATTAATCAAATTCAACATAATGTTCAATGGGGTCAACTAAGTAATTCAATGTCATTACCAACTGATTGGTATGAAAATAATTAATCTTATTTATATAGTAATTATATGTTTTTTTTTCTTTGAATTAGTCCACAACGTGATGAACGAAAAGGATGGATGGGTGATGCTGCCCTGTCTGTCAATGAAGCTTTATATAATTTTGATTTAATAAAATTTTATTTAAATTATCTTAATTTAATTGCTGATATTCAATTACCTGATGGTTCAATATCTGATACTGTACCAGTAACATTCGGTGGTTATCCGGCTGATCCAAATTGGGGTACTGCATTACCAACAATAACATGGCAATTATATCGTCATTATAATGATATAGAAATTCTTCGTGATCATTATTCAAATATTCGTGCTTATGTTGAATCTCTTCGTGCTGGTTACAATAAGACAGGTTTAGCTAAACTTGCTTACCATTATGGTGATTGGGTACCACCACCACCACAACCAATGACAAATGTGTATCTTATTGCATCATATGGATTTTTACATGATGTTTCATTATTAATAAATATGTCACAAATTCTCGGTTATACAAATGATACGCAATCATATACAATATTTTATCAAAACTTAGCTGAAGAATTTCATCGAGTATTTTTTACACCAACAGCTGGTTATTATGCTGATGGTATGCAAGCAGCACAAATACTTGCATTAGCTTTACCTAATGTTGTACCAACCAATGTACGTGATACAGTTTTTAAACATTTAATTCAAGATATTAACGATAAAGGAAATCATGTATCAACAGGAATTGTTTCTACTGCTGCAATTTTTCCACTTTTATCTGATAATGGTCAACATGATTTGGCAGTTGAATTAGTTTCTTCAATAACATATCCATCATTTGGTTATATGTTTAATAATCCATATGAAAATGCTACAACAATGTGGGAATTATGGGATGCGCCAATGGAAGGTCCAGGAATGGATTCACGAAATCATCATATGTTTGGAAGTATTGGTGGATGGTTTTATTCACATTTGGCTGGTATTAATTTTCAATCTAATTTAATTATTATACGACCACGAATGTTAACAGAAAATAAAAAACGTCTTTTAACAAAAATTGATTGTCAATTAAATACATTATATGGACTTGTTCATGTTTCATATACACGTGATGAACATTATACATTACCAAATTCAATTTTACTTCGAGTTTCAATACCATCAAATGCTCAAGCTCAAATTATATTTGAACCATTGTTTCCTGGTGCTCGATGTGTGCTATTGATCGAAAATAATAACATTATTTGGTCAATTGATAATAAGGAAAATAATGTTTGTCATGATTCAAACACTGGTTTAATTACTCTTGAAATTGGATCAGGAGATTATGAATACCAAGCTTTTTGGAAATGAAAATTTTAATTAAAAAAAAACTAAGAAATTTTATTATAAAAAACATTTATTTTTATAATAGCTTTTGTGACATATATATTGTACGTGAAATTTTTTTATTGTGATAAGCATGTTTTTTCTTCGTAGATATATTTCAATTTAGTAATAAAGATTTTATGATTTCAATTAATTATTGATTGTGCTTTATAATAGATGTCAGATATTTTTTTTTATGATCGAAAATGTTGCTTCGAAAAATCGACTTGTTTATTAAATTAACAAAGAAATGGTAACAATAAAACAAAATATGCAAAAAAAAGATGCTTGACTATTAAAATATATTTCCATTTATTATTTATTTCATGAACTTTCCTTATTTACTCTAAAAACGAAAAAAAAAACGAAAGATAAAAATCTTAGTTTTGATTAATTACAATTCTCTTTACTTTCGATCGCCTCTTTCACTTCATCCACTACCCACACTACTTTTTATATTATAGGATGAAATATATATGGAGAATCTTATAATTTAATCATTTTACTAACTTTATGGTACTAAAATAATGAGAAAAAAACATAAATTTATTAATTTTTTTTTTTACATTTGACTAAAATAAACAAACCTGATTATCATGACCATGATGTGGTGTATGATCTTTTGTTTCAGGATGTTCAGCAGGTTCAGGTTTCTTCTTTTCTATCTTATCACTATGTTCTATATTTATAATTAAAAACACAATTCCTTATCAATAAAAAAAAAAAAGAATTCTTTTACCATGATAAAGTTTGCCTTCTGAATTAACATCAGTATTCGACATTTCTTTTGTAATGTTGCAATTCGATATATATTATAAATATCTAGCTTAAAAGAAAAAGAGTAATAGAAGTTTTAACGGCCACACTAGAATATAAGAGGTGTGTACTAAAGAACAACAAGTACGAAGAAAAATAAGACGACCACATTACAGTAAATGTGACTTGTTGATTGGTGAAAATGAAATATCTAAAGCTAAGAACAGATGTCGGAGACCTCTTTGGGTTATAAGTATTTTGATTCTCACAAGATTTTTTTCAACTCAAAAGATAAAATAATTGACTTAATTATGTATTCGAAATCAGTCACGATCCAATTATTTTGATTATCTAATGATTACTATGTGAGAAAATAAACTTTTGATAAAACATCAATTAAATTAATTGTTCAAAAGATTTGTTCCACTGTATTAATGAATCTTAATTCAAGATGTGTTTCACACGATATGTGATTTTGAATGATTAATAGTAAATTTTCATTTGCATAATCTAAATGATCAAAACAATAATCTTCTAAATACTTTTACCAGTTTCTTGTCTCTTGTGTTGTTGATAATAAAGATAGTTCAAATAATCGCGTATACGATTCAATCGAAGTTCTATATAAAGCTTGACTTGAACATGTACAACGAAGTTAAGCTTCATCGAAATCGATTTTTATAATTATTAAATCCATTGAATCAATATTTAATGTTGAAATTATTCATTTAGTTATAGCAATAAATCGGTCAAAAGCTTTTAACCTAACATATATCTTGCACATTTTGTATTCTTGGCATCGAGATATACTGAACCTCGATATTTTTTGAACATTTCAAGAACGAACTTAGCTGGAAACCTGCAATTTTCATCATTCGAAAGAGAAATGTGAAGAGAAGTGAAACTTCCCTGATTTATCTGGACTAGGTATTAGTCAAGTTGTTGAGTTTTTATAGATTTTGATCAGAAATTTTCAAAAGAACTCTCTAAACTAACTATAAGTTCCAATTTATGGAATCCATAGTGGAAATATTTCTCTGCCAACTGACCAATGGTCACTCGAAACTGTATTGAATTTAGTGTATTCGTCTTAGTTGAGCTTAGTGGTAGCATTTGTTTTTTAGTTTCAATATAATTATAAGTTGCTAGATCATGATTGTTGTAATTCAGTCTATACAAAACTTTTAACGTTCGATGGAATATTTTCCAGATCTTGTCTATTCAATATCAGATCCTTTCAAAACTAATGATTGTGATTGAACTAATACTACTAAAATGCTCATGATATGATCATAATAAAGTAGAAAGTTCAAAATTTGGTTTATTGAGTTCTATTAATCTAATAGTATTTTCTTTGATAATCATTAGCTGAATACCAAATTCTAAAGGTAAACAAGAATATTCTTTCATGTCTTTATCAATAATATGAATAGGTTTTTTCTATTAATGAATCAATAACTTTTTTTCTAGCATCTTATTGTTGAATTATTTATTTTCGAATTTATTCAATTTTTAATTTTTCTTCTTTTTTATTATACATATTATTACTTGTTCTATAAGCATTAAAGTTTTTACACTAGGTTTTTCAATTAACAAATCCAAATCAATTTTTATCAATTAATCAACAAATAAATTTATTTCATCTACTAATGGACGTAATTGTACATTTTAATAGATCATCATGTTCTCAACATAAATGCTACCGATATATCGTATGAAAGTTTTTTAAGAATGAGATTTTAAAGAAGATCTTAATAAAACTTGAAATTATCTTTGTACACTATCTGATAAAAGTTGCACGTGTTGTTTCAACGATCGATATATAAATTTCTTTTCTCTTTCGGTAATGGCGTTTAATATTAACCAATCATTTGAATATTTAATGTCAGTTAAATAAGACCATTTTCATCGATATATCTTTCCAAAATAAATATTGAGTTTGAAGAAAAAACTTTTTGATAGTAATTTGTCTTTCTTTAAACTTCTTCAACACGTTCTTTATATATTGATTTTCAATTTTCATGTATTCTTATCAATTATCAATAAGCTTCTTTTAGTCTTGCTCTCTATCATTTCGAAGAAACAAAATCAATAATAATTAAATTTGTAAATCACTTTTATTTTCAAACTTCAAAACGACAAAGTCAATTCGCATTCTCTTGTACCTCTTATATTCTGCTATAAAAAAATAATATTCTATAATTTTTCCATTTAATTTACCTAATCAGTAATTGAATAGTTTTATGATTTTAGATGCCTATTCAATTTTCAGTTGAATCAATTGAATATCTTACTGAAAAATTAAATAATGGTCAATGTTTATCTGATGAATCTCTTGCTTATTTAACATTGCAAACCAGTGGACTTATTTTTAATCTGTTACAAGTAACCGCTAAACAAACCGAAAGAACTTTTTTTTTTTAGAAATAATTTCATTCTAGGATGCTTGTAAAGTCGTAAGAAAATGTTGTCGAAACGAAATAACAACAGAAGATTTTGCATTTGCATTAAAACTATATCATTTAGAAGTAAATTTCTATTTTCATTCTAAATATTTATTTATCTTCTGTAGCCTATGTATGGTTATAATACAACATCGAATATTCATCATTCATTATTTCATAAAATAAAAAAGGATAATCGAATTTTATATCATATCGATAATAATATCATACCATTTGATGATTTAATTATTGCTCAATTAAAAATACCTTTCGATATAAGTATTCGTGGTAAATTATCAAGATATTTTTATGAAAAGAAATGATATGATCTATCGATTTAATAGCACATTGGTTAGCAATAAATGGTAAACAACCAACAATCAATGAAAATCCTATTGTAGATAGATATATTCAATCAACTATTCGTTCAGTTCCACAAAAAAAATTCAATAAAATCTGTCATATTTTATCAATTGTAAATAAAAGAATTTATTTTATCATAAAATTGAATAAATTTATTATTTGCCTTTAAGGAACAACAAATTTATTATAAAGAATTAACAGAAATATGTATTTGTTCAAATAAAAAAAAACGAAAAGTAATTTATTCTTCATTAGACTATCAATATTTTTTTTTCTTTTATTAGCAAGCTTTATTAATTCTTTCATCGGATAGTAGTCTTCAACAAATTGTTTCACGCCTTATTATTTTCATATCGGAAGGTGTACGTGTAAATTTCACATCTATATCGACCTTTGATCGATCAATAATTTTGAATTATTTAATACAAATGAGTGATGCATTATTACAAAATGAAACACTTTTTCTAGAACCATACGTAAGAATTTTATTTGATTAATAGAAATATTTTATTTTTATTTTTTTTTTCTTAGTTGCATTATTTATTACCAGCTATACTTTCTTGTTTACTTAAACGAAGAGTTTCACATGATCATTGGTCATTACGTGATCTTGCAGCAAAATGTTGTGGGCATATTATACGGTTAGAATGAAGTTAATTTGTAAAAGAATAATTTCTTAAAGTTTGTTTTTCAGAAAATACTCTACGGCAGCAAATCGTTTACAACAACGTACAATAGATGTTTTCTATCGAATTTTAATAGATAATGAAGAAAAATACGCTTGGTCAACACAATATGGAGCATTTATTGGTCTTTGTCAAATGAGTCATAAAGTAAATTTTTTCTTTAAATAACGTTTTTTTTCTTCGTCTTATTGTATATATATATATATTTAGGTAATTATTCAAATTGTTTTTCCTCTTGTTAAACAATTAGGTGAAAAAGTTCGATTAATATCAGATATTGAGTTATCACAGAAAATGACAGAAATTGTTGTTGTAAGATATTCTTATTGTTATTCTTTAACAAAAAAAAAACAACAATAATTCTTTGTTTGACTTAGAAATTTATTACAATAGCTTATCGTTCAATTCAAAATGAAAATGAATGTAATGAAATTAAACTTTATGAAGATTTTGGTTCTTATTTTGCACCTCTTATTCAACATCAATTGATATTATTATTGTAGATAAAGATAATTATATTATATGTTTATATAAATTAAATTATTTTTCTTTTTTAAATAAACAAATTAGTTATGTTCTTTCATTCACATATGGAATAGATACAATCAAGCAATTAAATACATATACTACAATTTATCCATAGTTATTAGTAGTATCCTCATGAATAAGTCAATGAATCTTTGTATATCATCGAAGAACAGACTTAAATAAAGATGACTTCTTTCTCGTATGCTATCCAGTGTGAGATCAGAAAGGTGATAATTATTAGAAGATTAATTTCATTCACCAATTGAATGAATCTAAATAAAGCATTTCTCTGTTGATTCTAAAAGAATGGAAACATTTTTTTTTTTTTGCTAATATAAATCAGCTGATACTATCTCGGATTGGTTTAGTCCGTTGGATGACTAATCAATTAATTTTCCTACTTCATCGATACTTTTTTATGCATCAGTATTTTATGCAGAAAAAACACATACAACTTTGTATTAGAGAAAGTTATTGTAATAATAGAAATGAGAACATAATTCAATAGGTCATAAGGTAGTGGCAACAAAATATTAATGTAATTTTTTACCAATTGTTTTACTAATCCTAATAAAATATTCATTTAATGACAAATAACCTTTTTCATATCATTTCATTACATCAAGAATTCGTCGATTCCGAAGAATAATTTTTTTTATTTCGTGGAGGTTTGTGTATATTGTTGTCACGTTGTTTCATCGTAGCTGTGTTGAACACACAAACCTTCTTGTATTTATTAATCACAACGTATGAGTTTGGATTGAAGGTTGGAATATTTGTATTAACTAGGTGATATCAACCCTCCAATCAGGATGTGTCTGTGTGTGTAGGAGTAAAGAAGTCAAATACTTACACTTGTACCCACTAATCGAAAACATTTTTCTGTCCTTTTTACGGATGATAATGTTCGTTTAAAAAATGTCGGATAATGTCATTACTATTTAATTTATTTCTTTCTATCAAAGGCAAGATTTCTCCAGTATAATTCTGAAATGGTTCAGAAAAAAAATTCTGTCGATAAAACAAGAAGATACATCTCGAGTCTACTTTATGAAATGTATTTGATCATCACAAGATACATCACTAGACTAATTTGAAATATCATTTTATATATAAAATATATTAATCGAAAAAAAAAAACACATTTTTACAACTGAAATTTCTTTCTAAAATATCGGTTAAATTTCATATTCATTAATTTACATTGAATATATAAACAATTTATTATTTTCTTTCAAATAAATAATTGAAAATCTAAAAATAAAATTTCTAATAACAATGTTTGTTTGCTAATGACAAGCAATTTACTCAAGTTATGTTTCTCTATCAATCATCTCCTTCACATAAATCTTTTTGATCCCAGCAGGCATAAAAAAAATATTATTTCTCAAGATTTATTTTATTCATTCATTCATCCGGAAGAGTTAAGAGTATAGTCGTATTTCTTCTCATCTTACTGTTATTACCACAATTTTATTGCTCAAATATTCTTTATTACATTGTTCCTGACTTTTTTAATTTGATCGTTCGAATGAGCTTTTTTCTTTTATACACAAGGGATCAATGAATATGAATATAAATAAGAAAAAAAAAAGAGAAATGTCTTGTACATGAGCACACAACAGGTGAAAAGTCTACAACACTCATGAGGGGGTCTAACATAAAAATTACTCATTGATGAGATGTATGTGTGTGTGTTAGTGTTATTGATTGAAATAGAGAAAAAGAAAGAACGAACAAGCAAATTGATGGATGAAAGATTGTGTGTGTGTTTCGATTGGTTAAAATAAGTGAGAAAAAAATCTACATTATCACCGCCAATCAAATTTACGTTTACAGGTGTTACTATTCAATGTGTTGATAAGTCTATTTGCTTTTAACACATTGTACAATGCCACGACCTGGCAAATCTTCTTATTCAGATGAAAAACCTCCATGTTAGTAAAAAAAAAAAAAACTTTTTTTTTTAAAACTTTCAATTTATTTTATATTTTCTTAGATTCATATATTGCTTTAACAGCAATGGCTATTCAACAAAGTCCAGAAAAAATGTTACCACTTAGTGATATTTATAAAGTAAAACAAAAAAGAACAAATAGATATTTTTATTTTATTTTTTTTTTTGGTAATTTAGTTTATTACTGATCGATTTCCATATTATCGTACGAATACGCAAAAATGGCAAAATTCATTAAGACATAATTTATCTTTCAATGATTGTTTTATAAAAATTCCACGTAGAATTGATCGACCTGGTAAAGGCAATTTTTGGGCATTACATAGCAAGTAAGTTATATACACAGCATGAGTTCAATCAAACAAATTGATGAAAGAAATTACCATAGTTATACATGATTCATGGAAGATGAGAAGTACGAAAGTAATGAGTTAACTGTCTTTCGATGTGTTAAAATTATCATAAACAATCATTTAAAAAACCTCATTAAAAACAATAAGCATGTTCATACAATTAAATCTGATATGTTTTTTTTTTGAAACAATTCAATATAACAGAAGCCGTCATTGAATTGAAAAGAAAAAAAAAACTACATCTTGTCAAACACTTGATGAATAGCATCTCTTTTTTCACCTGTTTTCACTTATATATTAATTCAATATTGTTTGATCTTTTCCGATGTGATATATAGCTTATTGATAATTGCTACAATTAAAGAGGCTTGATCTTGTATATATGTATGTATATAAATAAATGAATATCAGCATTTGAACAACACATTTGATCAAATGTTTCATTTCGAATAGATTAATAAAAATGAGATTATATTTAGATGTGGTGATATGTTTGAAAATGGAAGTTATCTACGTCGACGAAAACGTTTTAAGTTATTAAACAAATCTAATGGAGAAAAAACAGTAAATATGAAAAAACCGATAAAAACAACTCTTATCAATACACCATCATCATCTCCAATTAAATCACAACAAATAAAAAGTTCATTTTTTATTGATAATCTTCTTGCAAATGATACAAATACTAGTACAAGTTATACAACATCATCAGTATCATCACCATCAGAAACAAATTGTACATTACAACATCTACTTTATTCTACTGATTTTGATTTTGTTCAAAAATTAACATATTTTAACGATTTTCATGGACAACAGCAACAGGTTTATTGGTGAAAAAAGAATATTTTTTTTTGACACATCATCAATTTTGTGTGTTGGACCGTCTATGCTTCATTTGCGTCTAATGACTTTGTATTTTGTTCGTTATAAGACTCAAGTATATTTTTTTTTGTTGATGACATTTGGTGTGTGTGTGCGTTTGTCTCAATATAATAATGTAATGAAGTTGTCACACAAGATGTTAAAATTAGATGATGATGGATATACCAAAAAAAAAAAAAAGAAAATTCTAATCACCTGGGAATATAATATGACAGTACTGTTAATTGAGAAAATATTCAAGCATACATTGAAATATATATATATGTATATGTTTTCTTTGTCGTCTTGTCTCGTCATTATCATTATTGAAGGTATGATAGCGGCTGAAATGAAAGAGAAAAAGAAAGAAAAAAAAACATTTCTCAAGAGAGACTTACAAAGAGAATATATTTATTTGACTATAACCACATAAACTAAGTTGAGAAGCGATCTATTATATAGAGATCTTGATAAGTATCTTGAATATGAATATCTTAGTTGTCCTCCTTTAGGTCTGACAAAAGACCCAACTTTTTCAATGTTACATCTTCTTCTGCTGATAGATGTGTTATAGTGTTTTTCCATTTTTTGAAAAATTTGCAAAAATGATTATTCTGTTTTCAAGAAAGAGCTGTAGAATATCAAGAGAATTCACTACAAAACAACCAGCTCGCTATAAAAAGTAGTAGGATCATATGTGGTTGCCATCTAGATATTCATCTAATTAGGCACATGTTGTGTTCGACAATTTAATAATTATCATTATAAATGTTCATAATGTTTTATTTTTTATACATTGGGATCTAGCATTTATTAGCAACAAGCTAGTACAAATAAAAATATTCTCATGGAGAAAAATATGATATCGATAAGAAATTATCTTGTCGGCACTTGTACATAATAAAAACGGAAAGCATTTACAACTTCTTGTCTAAACAAATTCGTCAATATGGCAGATGAATATATCAGAGCAATGTTTTTTTGTTTGTTCTCAAAGTCAGTTAAAAATAATTTTAGTTTATTTCTTCATGTTTTGTACATTTTTTTCTTCTTCAACTATTTTGATTAGAACACAAACTTTGTAATTATTAGAATATTGTCGGAAACAAAATAATCATGTTTGCCAATTTTACAAAACAAAACTGAAAAAAAGTTATGATACATCTATTGATAGGCTAAGGTGTCAAATCGAAGTAGTTTCATTTTCTTTTTCGTTTTTTTTTTCAGATCTAAACGAAGGCAGCTTATGTCCCCCTGGCCAAAATAAATTAAACGCTTTCTTTTTTTCATAACTTTTCTCTGCTAACATGATTTGGACTCATATTTATATCACCGATAGATATTGGAGTGCTCTACTTGCTATCAAAATTCCAGCTCTATTGAATGAGAATTTCTCGAGAAATTTACAAACTTGTCGGATGCCCTCATGAACCAATGAAACGAAAAGTTAGTATTTGATTAATTTTTCTATCATTTTGAATTCTATTTAGAATCGTAAGTAATGGTTAGTTAACCTGTGCATATGCCTACAACAAGACACATCTTAAGATATGGCTTGGTGTAGGCACATGCACCGATTAACTAACCATTACTTACGATTCCAAATAGAATTTAAAATGATAGAAAAATTAATAAAATACTGACTTTTCCGTTTCATTGGCTCATGAGGGCATCCGATAAGTTTGTAAATTTCTCGAGAAATTTTGATAGTAAGTAGAGCACTCCAATATCTATCTGTGATATAAATACGAGCCCAAATCATGTTAGCAGAGAAAAGTTATAGAAAAAAGAAACTGTTTAATTTATTTTGGCCAGGGGGATATATACTAATATTCGAAAGTTGTTACAATTGAGGTTTTTCCAGTATTTTCTATCCAATTTCAGAACGTTTTTTGAGAATTTCCATCATTTTCAAATAAATCCGAAATGTGAAAGTGTATTCAAGAAGTCGTGTTTTGGTATAATAAAGATAATATTTCCGAGCATCAATTTATGTAAGAATTATAATTTTTAAACATGCCACTCAATCAGCAAGTCTCATACATGTTTGGAAGGTAATGTTTCAAAGAGCGTGCAATATTCTTTATGCTGATGATCAATAGGATAACAATCTCTAGGAACTATCAAGAGTTTGAATAGATCTAATTGACATAGCACTTCTTATTTCATTTTCTCTATAAACAGCCATCTTGTATTTATTAAGAACGAATTTTACATGTGCAATTTTATTTCTATTATCGACTATCGTCACCATGATTATCAAAGAAGAAACTGAATGAAGTAGCACGTAGACAACCATATTGAAATAAGAATTCATACAAACCGTTACAAAGAGAAAGAATTTCAATTGAAAGAAAGCGTCATTATAACAAGATGATGAGATAACAATATTGCATACGACAATACAGAAATGTCTGCTGATCTTAATATTGAAATTGATTAGAATTAGACTTGATCAATTCAGTTTAATTGGCAACCTAAACGAAATGAATTAATAATGCATTTTCGAAATCGATGGATCAATTTGAGCTCGATTGGCTAAAAAATTTCAAAATCTATAAGTTGAGTCGAACTTCCGTTCCAATAAGATTTCATAGAATTGAATTGGACTCGGCTGTCTTAGCACCTTCATCACCCGACGGTGAAATCTTGGAATTTATCGAAATTCATAAATCCACTTATTTTCGAGTCTTTAGAATTAGTGACCCATTTCTCAATAACAACAGTTTAGAACAAAAGAACCGAAAATAGATTGTTCTCAAATAACGCGTCTACTTACCGCTTTTCTACGGAATAGAGCAAAATCCCCATTGCAGATTTAGGAAATCACTTAAGGCTATAAGTAAAACTCGATAGGTTATGAAAAGGTCTTCGTCTTTGGATATATGATACTTTATAAGATTGTCGATCTGTCATAAGATAATTCGATAATAATCATATAAAAAAAATTATTCAGCTAAAATGTTATCAATAAATAGAAATTCAGGTTTTTAGAATATTTTAAATGTTTCAGTGAAAACGAACCTTATTGTCAAAATAATAAATTTTACAAGAAATCTTGATTCGGCTGTTAAACAAAAGTGTTTTTTTGCACATTGTGTTTTTTCAGAAGAAAAAGCCTGTTTAACTGAATTTTTTACAGTTTTTCAAGAAGCATAAAATCTAATAATAAGCAAGTTATCAGGTTGAAATTTCATTGAATAAGTTTTCTTGAATAACTTTGGGACAGGTCTAAGATTCAATAAAGCGATAATAACTTGGGTTCAAAGCTCCGCTGGGTCCTACTTAGTCATAATATGATCGCGATCTGCCGGGTTCAGCTGGAGATATTTCCTCGTGAGTTGTAGCAAGGTTATATTCAAATCGGAAAAGATCATTACCACAACAATCATGTATTACTTTGCGGTCACATCACGATCGACTTTAGCTTGTTTTGCTTTCAGCAACAAATTAACATTGGCCTGAGAAGTTCACTAACGAGGATAAGCAGAAAACAAAATTCAGCAATGATGAGATCCATTGTGATGATAAAACTAATCCTTGTATCATTTAACAATTCAACTGGTCAATCACTTTTGGGCTGAAATTATTTGATCAATACGACCTAGTGAGTAAATAAATAGCCCAGAGTGGTTCGATTTTCTTACTTTTTGTCGCTAAGATACTGAATATGTAGTAAGTTTTTCAACAGATTTCGATATTTTCTAGTGACAATATGATTACTTTCAAATTTTGAACTGAAACTCGTGTCACAAGCAGCTTCTTATATCATTAATTCACAAAAAGCGTTTGGAGTTTTTGTGTAGACTAAAGATATGCAGAGTCATTTGTGGCTAAAATTTTTGCTTGAAGTCCGAAAGTAAAATGTTACTACAAAGACTGGCGGTCCAACAAAGGAGGCTATGTTCAGTGTCTCAAAAATTTGCACTAAAACTTCCTTCTAACTTCAGTGAAAGGAATAAATCTTTCTGAAAGTTTATGAGGTACGCCGGTTATATTGAGCTCATCGCATCACATCATGTTTATTTAGAAAATACAGAAATCCATTGAAAAAGTACACTAAAAATTCAATAACTCATCAAGAAAGACCCAAAAAAAAATGAATTAATTTGCGTATGAAACTTCAACCGTTTTCAAGTCAAATTGTTTCGACTGAATTCAAAATCAATTAGTATTATTTCTAGCAGTTCCTGATACCTCCTTCAGAATGGTAGTACTATGGATATCAAAATATAACAGTGTGAGGCCAATGTAAAAATTTGCGAACACAAAGGAACTATTGAGAAACGCTTTTAACAGTGTTTTGTCAAGTATGAGAGGCATTTGCTTGTATCAGAAACATCCAATTCGTTCGGACGATCTTTAAAAAGTCGCACAACTCGTGGGTTTTTATTCTTCATTCAGGTCTAAAGTCTCTGAAAGGTATCTTTTATTTCACGCACCTCGAATCAACGTGAAAACATAGAGTTTTGGCCATCTTGAATTTGATGACAATGTCTATGTTTTTCTTTTGTTCGAATGGAACTAGAATTGATAGATAAATATTTAAAATGCCTGTCTGCTATTAAATGAGATATGTATAGATTAGTCATTTCTTGATTGATTGAGCGAAAACTTTAAACAATTATAGTCTAGAAAGAAATTATTTTCATTCAAAGTCTGATCGATCTTGTAAAATCCTCTAAAACGTCCAACCAAATATCTCTAAAGAACTTTGTCTGAAATCATCAGAAGTTTATATTTCTTAAAAGCATCGTAGTTTTCGCCAATTTGAATATCCATTGACAAAACAAATGTTTCGAGATAGTTACATGCCTTATTAAATTATTTGGTAAGAATCATATATCTTATATTCTGAAATCGGTATTAGTAGTTTTCAACTTTGTAGCTATTATTTTGGTCGCTTGGACATCATAATAATTCCTACTCTCGATTGATTTTTATGCGACTCATTTAAGAATCGAATATGGTGG